TGGACGAGAAGCCACTATATCGAGACCAGTAAAGATTCAGAGATGAATCAAGACTGCTAGTGCTGGTCACCATGTCATTGGTTTATCACGGGAACAAGGTCATATAAGTAGATAATCTGATTGACGATTCTGTTACGTGATAATTGACAGAGTCATAACATTTACAATCAATTCAACCAACCTCTAATCACTTTTTTATTTCACATTATATTGCAACCTGAATAAAATAATCAGCTTAGCCTTTCAAGGTTGAATAAAAAGGCAGTGGAGAACAGTGTGCTTAAACAAATTGTTCATTAACATATATACACATAACTAACGTTGTGCTAGTTGAAATAGATTGTTTTTTTCTGTTTGATCTCAAATGATACCAATCATAAATCGTTAAAAGGTCACTATTTTGATCATGCTGTAAAGTATTGAAATACTGTACATCAAAGTTAGATAATTGAAAGTAGTAGGCAGGAAATCCTGACGAATCTAGGTATGATAGTAGTTCAGATCAATGACATATTTTAATTTTAGCGAGGTAATTAACATGAAAATTACAGTTCAAGTCTAATTATTGAGTAGAAACAAGAAGGAAAACAGGAGAGTTAACAAATCCTATAAACTACTTCTAATTACCTATGCATATGGTATCATCAATTAACTGAAACTGGTAATTACATCATAAATTGATTAATAAAATTCGATAAGCACTGAAAGACTAAGTAAATATGACACTGGTTACTACTCAGTGATCCATCGACTGTAAATTCAATCACTGGGCTAATTATCACTATATATATACTATATTCAAGTTTACAAACTAGACATGATCAAACTTTCGGTATTTACTAACAATGGAAGTATCAAACAAAAAATTGTTTACTAGGTCAATTGTATTGTATAATACTAAACACTTAAGCTTGTCAACACTTTATTATTTATAAGAACCAATCTATGTATACACTATTTATGTTGAAAAATAATAAAAGTTGTATTGTTTGACCTGGTAGCGTAAAAAAAAACATACTAACAATCGAATTAAACAATTTTATTTGAAATTAATATTCAGTAAACAAAATTTTTAATTAAAATCAAGGCTAACTGTACACACATAGAATATTGGTGAGCGGTCACCTATGTTCCTCCACGTGGAGTAACAGGCTTAAGTAAGTAAGTGGACATGTATAGTTGAAATTGATTATAAATGAAACATGAGACGAAGAATTACATTTATTTATTACGAAATGTTTGGTTGCTCAAATAAAAATTCAATTTACACTCAATATTGTTCTTTTCTTAGGCAGGTTTTCAAGAGATTAACAAGAAATATAGTATAGTCCATCATTAAAGTGATTAAGGTTTCAAATTGTGTTCACATTATTATTATTAAAATTATTATTATTATTACTTTTATTATTATCCTTGTCTCCTCTGACCTTCCATTTCTAGTCCAGGTGACCTTTTATTCTTTGATATATAAATAATCTTAACAAGTATGTAATGTATGATCAGATTGTTCGAAATGTATTGCGCTAATACATATCATCATATAGTTCTATATTACATTATCGAAACTTTTTTATTTGTGAGGAATTTGTTAAAAAAATTGATAATGTGGTATTTCTGCTATATAAGAGAAAAAGATATTTCAATAATCTAATCTAAATATTTTCTTTAAACAAAATGAAGACTATTTAGTTTGTTTAACGTTATGAAATCCAATCTATGGAATTAATGGATTTACAAAACTGTCTCTACCTGACACGGATCAGATCCACTGGTCACGGCTTCTAACTAGGACTCCGAGAATTCCCTCACGAAGCTAGTCACTAGTAAGCACATGGTAATTATCAGTATGCAGTTTTGGAGATAATAATCTCCAGTTTTTGATTGAGATCATGAAGCGCTCGCGCGCAAGACCGAAAGCTCTGGATTCAAATCCCTCTGGCGAGGTCTTGAATGCGCACTGCTGAGGAGTCCCACAATAGGACGAAACGGCCATCCAGTGCTTCCAGGTTTTCAATGGTACTCTGATATCAATCGATTCATGATGTGAATCAAAAACTTAGTAATCTACACAACCCCATAATGAGAAATCTGTGACCTGTTAAAATGAGTGAGCATTCAAGAGCTACAGGTCATGGTATCGAGGATTTTTGTTTAACTGACTAGAAAGGTTATGAATAGTATGTGTTATTGATTAAATACGATAAAAATGAACTCCTAACAACTATCAACTCAGTTCTTTTCTACCAATGAATATCCAGTTTTTACTAACCAATGACAATAAAATGTAACAGAAAACTCTAAGTCATTGATCATAAAGAAAAGAATTATTATAATTCTGTTCATTAAGGAAATGTCTATGAATAGCCAATGGTTAGATAATTTTTCTATCCGTTAAATCTCGTTATTTTTTAGAAAAAATTATACTTAGAATCTGGAAGAAATCTAGACAGACAGATATACACACAGATCGGTTTCTGCTGTTTAAGTTTTAGATTTTAGTAAACTTTCGATGAATTAATTATGTAGCAGAGTACGGATCAGTTAGTAGGAGTTATACATAGTCATAGTCCTAAATATAGTCATAAATTTGATAACTAGAACGAGATAGGTTTATGCATCTGTCTTCCAATATCATTGGTATGTCTCCGCTTCATGCATGATATAGTTGAACTCCATCGGCTACAACCGTGAGAACTGAATGTACTGGGTTCTATCACTGGTGGGATTGTGGATGCGTGATCTTGAGGAGTCCTGTAGTAGGACAGTAAAACAATTTAGTGCATTTTAGCCTTTATTAATAGCGAAACTAAGGTTAGTCGGTGACTTCAATGGACTTTGCAAACCACTCATAATACAATTTGAATAGACTAACACACCTATTATGATTTAACGTTTCCTGAAATGGGAGATAGAAAATGTCTGTTTACAATAAAAGGTCCTGCTGAGTAAATCTTTAAAACTTCCTTAACTAAATAACTAAGGTTTAGTTACTAGTCAATAGCTTTGAGGTGGGTTTCTTAAAATTCTACAGGACAGCCACAAACAGTGAAGTCAACCGTTTCAACAGTGAAATCGATGACCACCGAGTGACAACGCTGGATGATGATTGCGTTATTTTGTGAACTAAGTGAAATCGGAAACACAGGTAGTTGGATTAGTGTCTAAAGTAATCGTAGAATATGAACTTTCCGCATTCGATCTTGTTAAAGAGTCTAAGACTGAAACGAAACATCCAACCAATGGTCTTGTTGTTTTTAACGGATTTTCAGCCGATATCAGTTTATAAAAAAAAGCCATCACATTTAAGATAGAAGGTTCGGAGCGACATTTGACTTATAATTTATAGGAACAAAAAGAATGGATCGAAGCAATCACTGCCGACTAACATTTTCAGCCACTGACTACGGATATTGTGCGAGATTCAACTAAGAAGTCGACTCCCATCAATATCGATGCTATGTTTGAACACGACTGACTCTAAGCTTTTTACCGACCTAATTTTAGATCAACCAGAAGTAGATATCTAGAAAGGTGGTGATTAAATATAACCAACCGATGTAGTAGACACAACAATCGATAAAACTTTGTGTCCTCATTACCACTGAAATATCATTATTTATACTCAGAAAATAACTAAAATTAAGGAGAGTGGTGATAAAGGTGACAAGACTTTACTGTTAAGAGTAACCAAATGCTAAAATTTCTGAAAGTAGTTGCAAATTTTACTCATGGTGAAAATAAAAGTATTTGAGTAGACAGCTTAAAGATGTATATTCCAAATAACGCAGGAAAAACCCAACACTTTTATACATTAAAAGACGCATTGTTATGCCCGACTTTCATTGCATCAACGCTTTAAATCTAATCACTTCCCTGTCATTCCAAAATAACTCCAAGTTACTATACCTGACCTAGAAAACTATGGGTATTTCATTTTACTTGACGTCAGTTCGTCACATTTATCATTAGTTGTGTAAATACAGAAAATTTACACACGATATTCAAATTTAACTAAATTTTAAATTTCTTCCCATTGTTGCAAGTATGAAATAAAACAAATATGTTTCTATCACTTACATATCTCCAATATAAGTTAGACAACTAATGTAGTAAAAAGAGTATACAAAGTTGAGTTTATAAGTATGTTTGGAACTTCGAAAATCTATCCTAGACATTTCAGGTATTCTAGTGTTAGATAATACTGCAAGTCAAGGAGCACTTGAACATCACTCTCAATACTACTCTGCAAAGTAAAAATTTAACACTTTTTTAAACACCATTAATATATCAATTTATTGTAGGGAGTCTCTTTATCAATCATACTGTAGTAACAATTTAGACTTTAGTTCTTGGTGCTGATTGATGTTTGTCAAACAAATTCGTTAAACCAACGTCATGACGATACACGTAAATTAGTTCTTGGATTATCAGGTGATATCATCAAGAAAAGATGAACAAAGGCAATCAAAGGATTCCATAGAATACCAATATTACCCATGGAACAGATATACCTAGTTAATTACGTTAACATGAGAAAGTATAAATAATGAAACCTAAATTTCTTTTGAAGTTTGATTAGGTGATACCTATAAATCAACTCGACATGATCTACTATTGACAGATCAGAAATCTACCATAATGCTAACCCAGTTATATAGAATAGCACGAAGAAAAACCGCAAATACCGTTCATATGTACAAGTATATTTTGACTGTGTGGTAATCAACTACAAACTATCAGGTCCAAATCCTAAACAAGTATGCTTTCAAATACGTATTTTAAGTTAAGTCAGTATATTTAAAATAAAAGGATCAGAATAAGATGTTGAAAATTTATTTAATCGACTTTTGTCACATTATAAACGTTAGATTAAACATCTATTCTGTAGTCTTTTAAAATCCTCCCACAGTTAATAATATGTAAAATGAACGGAGTGATTTTCAGCAAGCACTCATAACAAACATTGATAGATTTGCTTAAAAACGATCAATAAAACTCACGTTAATGAAATAGGTGCGTCACCACTCCGATTAGTATAATTTACAACGGCATTGAATGTTTGGTTAAACCATTGCCAAAATATAACAGCCGGTGTAGACCTAAATGCAGTAATAAAATAAATAAATAAACCCATGACATTCTACAGCTGACAGACTAAAAAATATTTTAACAGGTTTGTCAGCTTTTTTCATTGAGTGGATTGATAAAAGTAACCAGTATGAAGTTCTGAAGACATAAAACAAATAATATTGTAGGACATTTCAACCGTTTTAATTTACAAGATTTAGTTTCACGGAAATCATAAACCGATCAATATTAGACCACCATTGAAAATCTGACCGTTTTATCCTAGTATGGGAAGTGAGCACCCACGAACCCAGGACCTTCGATCTCGCGCGCGAACACAGAACCCTTGGACTATTGAACCGGCATCCAACGCTGTTAATCTTAATCTGGTGGAATCCCAGTTAATTACGAATTCATAATTTCTGACAAGGTTTCGCCCAATAGTATGTCACTTAATTGACGATATTTTTATGCTAAATTGAGAATTGACTTATTGAAACACTAATAAACAAAGCCTATGACGTTTTTAAAACAAAAAATTATTTCATGAATGAGCTTATTTCGCTGTCTCCTTGTGAAACAGCTGTTTAACAAACTAATGAAAAGTGGATGCATACATTCAGTCATTTTTTTTCTCTGCAACACTGCCCAAATATTGTATACAGAAGAGTAAGCGCTACTAGAATCAAGCATATGGTCTTAGATACAATTTAATTCAGTTTGTAAGCTTCTAGATATTCGCCGATTCTAGTTACTAAGACCTTCGTTGTACGCTTACAATCAGCACTTGCCTTGATGTGCCGTTATAGTCAAAACATACGCCCGAGGTCAAAAATGATAAATGAAACAACTTGTAAATCTTGCAACATCCTAAAATAATTAGTATAAGCAACTTAAATAGCACACTAGATGCTTTGTTATTGTTAAAAAGCTTTGAAAAGTTTAATTTACTCACTTGTAAAACTGTAGCAAACAACCCGTTATAAACATATTTCCAGGAACCTGAAATGACATGCGTCCAATAAGTATCATTTTTTCGCCTGTATCTGGATGGAACGCTGAGTCGTACACATTTTTTGCTTGCCAAAGCTTTTCTACAGTTAAACCAGGTTGAATAATCCCTATCCTGTAATTGTTTTAGAGCAATACATGACCACATAGTACTTACCTATAATTATGAACGATGGTCCTTGCTTCTTCTAATTCAGCAGATGTTTTGAATGCGTTCAAAGGATTAGTTGTAATAAAAAAGTGTTTGGCTCTGCCAATATATGTGGACTGATCATATCGAGGCTTTTCTATATCAACTAATTTACCATGAACTAATTCGGATGGCTATAGCATTGTTAAAAACAAAAGGAAGTATTTTAAGCAGTAAAAACTGTGATAACCCTGGTATCTATAAAAACTTGTGGGAACTTTGACATACAACTACTCATAAAAGTACCGTGTAGACATTTCATAGTAAAACAGTTGTCTGAAAAATTAGAAAGTGGATAAATGACATCTAATATGCTGAAGTTTGCTTTGGCCAATATGATAAAATGCCAAGTAGATTTGTTTCCACTGATATTTTGACGGTTAATTCTCTGAAATATATCAAAGTAATGGTACACTAAAGCTTATATATTCAAACTTGAGGCAGTACATTGAAAATCGAGTATCACCAAGAGCTATTACTCAGAATAATAGTCGTTTAATTCTGAAAACGACCAAACGGAAATTAATAATTAGTGATAATTTATCCAAAATATAATGCTTAAAATGTCCTAGAAAGATAGAGGAAACAGGTTACGTGTGATAGTAGTTCTCATGGCCAGAAATTTCGAATGATTAAGAAAGGATAATGAACAAGAGCTCAACTACAAGCCAGAGGCAGTATCCAACTTTAGTAGAAGTGGAAAGCCAACAAAAAAGAGAATTAACGGAAGCCAAAAGTTTTCATAACAAATTGCTGTTTTTAAACCTACCAATAGTTACTTTGCCGAAGATACGTACATTAGCGAATAAAGGCACGGTTACTTAAAGAAGTTTTTAACTACGAATAAAATGAACTTTTCATTATGAAAGGCACATCGAATAAGATTTAAAGACGCCTGGAGGTACCTATCAACTGACAATTACATTAAAAATGAATGGTATGAATTTTAAATGGCTTCTACAGACAGACGAAAAAGGTTTTGAAGCATTGAGCTGAATGTTTTTCGGCAGTTGGTGATTATGAGACAGTTAAAGTTAGCGTCAAGTTTCGTATAAATTACGTCCAAATGATCTGCAATGATGACAGGAGTCTGCTAAATAGGGAATCATAGTTTGGAGTCTTAGTCAATCCACATACATTGGTTATAAACCGCAGTAGCGACTTGGTTAATGTCACTTAAAGATGTAAAAAGCCTAATCTCGAAGGCTTAATCTTAGTTCTAGAGTGTCTGTAACGGTGAATCAATCTCCAAAACAAATAGTTCCGTAAGTCTTCGACATTGCTGACCTCACTAGTTTTGGTAACTACACCCTAGTTTGATTACCACGACGCGTCGATCGGGGTAAATCCCTATCGCCCAAAAATACGAACTACGTTGGCTACTACTGAACTAATTCCTCCGCATTTTAGACCTTAAGAACTACATATCAAATGAAACCAGTGAGTTCTTTGCCAGAACACGTATAGTTTACAGTCGTAGAAACCTGTAAGGCGGAAATTAAAGATTATAAAACCTGAGAAAAAATTATCTGAAAAGCCTCCTTATAACTTGCATCCCGAGCATAAAGTAAATACTTTTGATAAGGTCATAAAAATTTTACGGAGTGACGAATACTTCCCTAACTGTTCCTGTGTCCGTAGTCTTCTGCCTGATTCATTAGAAGCATTGCCTGATGCTCGGTTACGTTAGGTTTAACGGTTCATATAGAAAATGAACAAAATGCATAGACTTACATCAGGTGGCATTATGGTGCGAAAACAAGTCAGGAAAAGTAGTCGTTTTGAAAAAAGCACTACTGTGGTTCACCTTGAGGAAGTAGTTAACATAAACTTATTTTGCTATTAGTTTTTGTTATTATTCACTTCTTTTCTTAATTTCGCATGTTTTGTGTAAATACCATTATTGTTTAAAAATAATTGACCTTGCTTTTCATTTTTTACTTCCACATACTGTCTCGTGTTAGGGCCCAATCCCACTACGACCTGTTACAACCGCGTTTAATACAATTTTGGAGCTCAGAGATCTTACATATGGAGCAAATAACTCAAGAATCTGGTTTGCGCAGACAGAAGCTTTGTTTCCGATGCGAAAAATTCTGTCAAACCAATTAAATGCGCTTACGTTCTCGGTGTGCAAATATCGGAAACTTAATAGATCAAGTGCATGAGCAAGACCCGCATCATAAACTCAAAGATTTAGTCATTCATTGCGTATCAGGACACGAGGAAACGTGGAGACAAAGATTGGTAATCATGAAATATGAACCGTCAACTGTTAAATCCCAAAGTACAAGAAACATAAAAAAGTCAATATACCCAATAAAAGCAGAGAGAGAAACTAAAGAGAAACTAAGTACTTAACGTTACTTCAGTTAAAATTAATCAATGCAAACAATAGTTTTGATGAGTAGAAAACACTCATAACTATGAATTTAACCCACTGAAATAAAGGACATGGAATAAAAGCTAGCTCCCGGTTTTTCTGTAGCTTTTATGTTGTCGTAGTATTCTTGTTGAAGCCGTTAGAACAAAGCTCTGGAGTTAGCGATCTGAGAATAACTTTTAGTTTTATGGTATAAACACTAATTCGGACGTTTACTATGTTTCATTACTTCACAAATTGTTCGAATGACTACACTATCAAGGAGATGATTTATTGATAAATAGGAACAGGTATATTGTTAATGTGTGGAAAGTATTTTACTGCTTAAAATTCCTAACATTTAAGGGCCTAAAAGAGTCACTTTCAGTAGCAATATGTTGCGTAAACATGCTGTTTGAAGCTATTTTATCCTCTTTTAAATATGATCAGTTACGACAAATGCAATGGACGAAAGAGGGTTGTTGATGAAGACGGTTGGGTTTTTGTAGGGCCCTTTATCTTGTCGTCACTTAGATTGAACGATCTTGTCGACGGGCCTTCCACTTTGGTGGCCCGAGATCTGAATCTGGTTCGATCTAATGAATGATTATTATTGAAATATATATGTCGCCTATCCTCGTATATAATCATCGACTTAAATCATGTTAGTCAATAATAAGCCAAATAACGAGAATGGACTTTTGAATACATATACTTTGTATATGAAGCGAGTGGAATAAAGCGAAGCAAAACGACGCGCAGTGGTAAGCTAACTCCATTTAACCAAGCGTTGATCAATATATATGGTCACACAAAAATTGGTTACAGACGTGTGATGAGTAATGGGATAAGAAGTGTACACATATATGCGGCAGCAGCCAAAGTTGATAAGCGAATAATCAACAAGGTCAAAATATGACTCAAGTACAACGAATAGATTGGCTTGTCCGAAAGCTAGAATAAGGTCTATAGGCTTAACATAATAAGCCGACACTACAGGTTTCACCGTTCACAACGCAGTTCTTATGTTAGAAAATCATACCAGATCAGATGACTCCTCAGATCATCTCTTCAACTCACGGATAAAGTTCTGACGTCTTTTACCAGTCTGTAGATATATGTCATACACAAAATACTGAGATGGAAGAACAAACGTTCCCTAAACGGCCCTGAAGTTGTGACCGTTTTCGTGAAATTTAGGGTAACGAAGTTATCGGAGATCATTTGCAGTGCTTTTGCGAGTCTAGTAAGGCTCGCTTAACTTTTTTTGCTTGTTGATAACCGTGGTTCTACCAATAGAAGGAACCAGACAAGTGATGAATAAGTCTTTAATTTTCTATCATGAAAGGTGGAGTGGAGCGCAAGTTACCTTTTCAAACACATAAAGCCTTACAACACTCAGTACAAAATAATAGGAAATATAATCCCTATCCAAAATTGGAAAGTGAATGAGTACTTAAGCTTTGTTGTTCTGACATTTACCTAGATGTTTGCGGTTAATTGTTAACAAATCAAACCAAGTTGTTGCAGTACTATCTTGACGTTTGTATTAAAGATCATGACTTTGATGTTATTTGACTGTCGTATTAAGTTCCACATGTTCTTCGGTAGTATAACTTTCTTCTTGTCTTGCCATTCTGTTTCTTTACATCTGTATCAAATGTTGTCGCCCTGGGATTCCGAGTTAGGGCTTTCCCTATGATGCTCTTCTAGGTGTATTGTCGGTCCAAAACCCAAGAAACCTCACCGCGTGTAAAACAGCCTCACTAGAATGATAACTAACAAGAAAAATAATTTATTCTGTGGCTAACAATTGTAACATCCTCACCCAAGCATAGTTTTGTATATATTCGTATTCGTCAAGGTTTGGGATTCCCTTATTCAGCAAATTAAAGGTGTTATTTAAGTCATTATTAATTTGCATATACTTCTGCATTTATTTATATATATTTACATTTTTATTTGAGTGTTTATGATCGTAGGCATCTATAAATTTACGTATTAATTTCTCTGACCTTCTTGAGCATTAACTGTTTAAGCTCTTGATTACGTATTCAAACACGCAAACTTGTTTGCAGGTTGAGCAGCATTCAGTCGTTCATACGTTTACCTATGTGCTCAGCTCTCGCAGCAAACGTTTCCCGACACGTTTATTCCTACTAATGAATATCTTTTACTGTTTATGGGATATCGAGTTGACATTCTCAAGTCGAGTTGTACATCACGTTAAGCCGAGACGCTCAGCCTTTACATCGAATTTTTTAATTATCTGTACCCCACATTATCTTAAGATTCCTCGTGAATCAACTGGCTTGTTATCTGAATAAAGAATTATTATCGTACTGAAAGCTCGGGCACCATAGTTTGACGCCTGGTCTGATAAAGAATGTGAACGTGCAACAACTGATAAGATTAGTCACAATAATGTACATGATTCTAAGTGTTTTGTTGACGAAACCGAAGAGTCGAGGTCCTTGGCGTTTTTTCTGAATAACGAAATCGCAATTGTGGCACTTGTTGCAACAACTGATGGACGTTCTCTAGTTTATCATCTGACGGGCAATTGTGGCTTGTAACTAATGCTTATAATGTAAACCTCTGTGGAAAAATTTGTAGTATAAATTAAGGAAGTGACGCACTGCTTGCTGTCAATAACACAACCACTCGCGGTTCATGGTCAGTGGGACTGGCCCAGTAAGAACAGTGATGTTACGTGGGAGAGAAGAGACGTGCAAAAATTTTATCTTCTGAAAGGAGCCGAATAACTTCGGATTGTGTGCTAGGTTATTAGGTAAATAGACGTACTGTTGTACGTGCTGTGCCTCTCATTGACATAGAGCAGTTAGCTAGGATCCAGCGGTGTCTCTACATAGCTGGAGGGATTTTGATGACCGGTGCAAAGGGAAGAACACACTGAAAATCCCTCCACAGCATTCTATTGGACAGTATTGTCATTTATTTGTACCTTCTTCTGTCATGCAACTGAATCTGGATCCCAAGCAAAACTTTGTTCTGTGCCGGAAAAATATCACTGTCCTGTGAATTGGCGCTCCTCAAAATATCCAGGTTACAAAAAGTGGTCGTTCTGGGCTCAAGATCATGTATTTGATCCAACTAAGTGATGGATCAAACTTCCGGCCATTTCACATTGATATTATTTTTAAACAAAGTTATTTTTCAATTTACGTTCGTTTTCAAGATACCATTTCTGTTTCCTCAAAGATTACCAGCACGTTCTGTGAAATCAGTCATTTATATAGAATTATTATTATCATTATTACTCACAAAAATCTTATGAGTACATAAATGTTGTGGACAAACCACATCGCGTTTCTTGAAAAATGCAATAAAACACAAGTTTTAATAATGTTAGTATTATATTTGTCATATTTAAAACAGAGAATAAAAGAGAATAATGACTATAGAATGATAATAATAAATCGGGTTCTGTTTAATTGAGAAGAATATTGAATTGACTTTAAAGAAGGTAAGGGAGAAAATAAGGGAATAGAAATAAGAGAGACATGAAATGCGCAAATAGTTTAATATGTATGTATCGCCAAATTAGTAACAAAAATATAATAAAAAAGAAAAATAACTTATTATTGAAGTAAGATATGATGCTACAATGAATGTTTGTGCAGTCATAGTTTAGAGTAATGCTATGAAAGTACAAAGGATAATCAAATATCAACATGTATGAGACATATAAGAATGATGTTATGAAAGTCATGATTAATTGCAAAGGATAATCAAATATAAATTTCTATGTGTTATATATATATGTATGTGGTGAAGATGAAATGAATCTGAGAAGTTAATTTGTTTGAGTGTAACATAGGATAATTTTTTTTCTTTTTAGTTATAGACTTTGGATATTTAGGAATAATATATGTTCAGAAGGATAAGAAGAAAAGAAAAGAATATCTTATGTTTCCAGGGACCAATAATGATATTAATAACAGTAATAATTTTAGATGAAAACATAAGCAGACTTCATACATTAAGATGAACAGAAATAAAATAAAGTAAAATTGACGTTAAAAGTTTCAGGGATTGCATCTTGCTTTTCAGTCAATTAGATGGATGACGGACTTTGTTTGTATAAAGCATTATTAAATACATTGATACTCAATAGGTGACACAAGCCACTTTCGGGAAGAAAATCATCAAAAAGACTTCTGAACCGGGTTGTAGTTTCACTGAGACGGAGGTTCACTGGCAGTCTGTCACACATGGTTGAGTAGCGAATAACGAAGAAATTATGGCGTAAGTTTGCGTGGGTTCTTGGAATCGCTAGAATATTTTCCTTATTGAGTAGATTGGGGGATGATATAAAGTATGAAGTGGTGGATACCGAAGAGTGGGAAATGCCGTTAATAAGCCGGCAGATAAAGGCAAGGTTTAATTTGATACGTCTGATACAGAGA